GGTGTTTTGGGGGGCCCGGGGGGTCTTTTTTGTTGGGGGGGGCGGCGGTCAGGAAAGTTTTTAGGATCATTTTTTGGGGTCCTGTGGCTCTTTTGGGGCCGTTTCACTGGGTTTGGGGGGGATATCGGAGTGGGGGATTTTGGGGGGGGGTCGGACGGGGTGTCCCCCCCCTCAGGGGACATTTGGGGACCCCCCGTGTCCCCCCCCAGCGCGAGGAGGACGCGGCCCTGCTGGGCCCCATGCAGCTCTTCCCCCCCAACGGCACCATCGACCTCATGTACTTCCCCTACTACGGGAAACGCGTCCACGTGAGCACCCCAAAACCCCCCCGGGGACCCCAAAACCCGGCACCCCTCTGGGGGGGTGGGGGACACCCCGAAATCCCGCTGGGAGGGGGCTCCGGGGCGCCTGGGGTCCCCCAAAAGGGGTTTTTTGGGGTTTTTTTTTAATGGGGAATTTGGGATTTTTCTTGGAGGTTTGGGGTCCCCCCAAGGAGTTTTGGGGTTTTTTCCTGGAGGTTTGGGATCCCCTCAGGAAGGAATGGGGAGACCCCAAAATTTGGAACCCCTCTGGGGGGGTGGGGGAGACCCTGAAATCCTGCTGGGAGGGGGCTCGGGGGTGCCTGGGGTCCCCCAAAAGGGGTTTTGAGGGAATTTCCTGCAGGTTTGGGGTCTCCCCAAAGGAGGTTTGGGGCGATTTCTGGAGGTTTGGGGTCTCCCCAAGGAGTTTTGGGGGAATTTTCTGGAGGTTTGGGGTCTCCTCAAGGGGTTTTGGGGGGATTTTGGGGAAGTTTGGGGTCTCCCCAAGGGGTTTTGGGGGAATTTTCTGAAGGTTTGGGGTCTCCCCAAGGGGTTTTGGGGGGATTTTGGGGAAGTTTGGGGTCTCCCAAGGGGTTTTGGGGTTTTTCCTGGAGGTTTGGGGTCCACCTGGGCACACCTGGATCCTTTTTTGGGGGCATTTGGGAGTCCCCAGACACCTGAATTCCTGAAAATGAGATTTTTGGGGTCTTCTGGACACCGGAATTCCTGGGAATGGCATTTTGGGGATCCCCTGGACATCCAAATCCTTGGGAACGGGAATTTTGGGGATCCCCTGGATACCTGAATCCTTTGAAAATGAGATTTTTGGGAACAGGAATTTTGGGGATCACCTGGACATCCAAATCCTTGGAAATCAGGATTTTGGGGATCCCCTGTACACCTGAATTCCTGGAAATGGGATTTTTGGGATCATCCGGGCATCCAAATCCTTGGAAATTGGGATTTTGGGGATCCCCTGTACACCCATCCCTGGGAAATGGGAATTTGGGGATATCCTGGACATCCAAATCCTTGGAAATCGGAATTTTGGGGATCCCCTGGACACCTCAATCCTTGGAAATCGGGATTTTGGGATCCCCTGGACACCTCAATCCTTGGAAATTGGGATTTTGGGATCCCCTGGACACCTCAATCCTTGGAAAAATCCGATTTTAGGATCTCCTTCTCACCTGAACCCCCGGGAATCGGCATTTCGGGGATCCCCGGTACACCCACCCCGGGAACTGGGATTTTGGGGATCCCCCAATCCCCCCAAAAACGAGAATATTTTCCTCCCCCGGCCCCCCCAAAGCCCCTAAGCCCCCCCGTTTTCCCCGGCAGGTGAACTACACGCAGCCGGTGGTGGCCGTGCAGTTCTCCAACGCCACGGCCAACGTCTCCCCCGCCGCCGCCGCCCCCCGCTCGGGTCTAATCGCCCGCCCCGCCCCCGTCGGGATGCTCCTAATCTGAGAATAATAAATGTACATAGATATTTTTTATATGATAAATCTATTAAACGGTGCAGTAGGGCCCTGGCTCGTCCCCTCCCGCCTCCCTCGTGGACCAAATGTTCGTGGTTTGTGCTCAGATTTGGGGTTGGGGAGGTTCGGGGGGAGTTTGGGGGGAGTTTGGGGGGTTTTTGGGGGGTTTGGAGGGTGAGTGGTGATATTGGGGAGGGCAAGATGGCTGCCTGCCAAGATGGCCGCCGTGGGTGTGGGGATAAAGGACCAAGATGGCTGCCGTGGGTGCGTGGATAAAGACCAAGATGGCCGCTGTGCATGAGGGGATAAGGACCAAGATGGCCGCCTGACAAAATGGCTGCTGTGCCTGAGGGGATAAGGACCAAGATGGCCGCCTGACAAAATGGCCACCATGGGTGAGGGGATAAGATCCAAGATGGCCGCCACAGCGGGGATGGTGCTGAGGGGGATTTGGGATCAAGATGGCCGCCAGCAGTGGTAGGGATGGAAACAAGATGGCCGCCATTGGTTGGGTAGTGGGGAGCAAGATGGCGACCGTGCTGCTTGATCAGGTTCAAGATGGCCGTCAGCACACCAATATGGCCGCCAGCAGCGGTGGGGATGGCAAACAAGATGGCCACCACCACACCAAGATGGCCGCCAGCACGCCAAGATGGCCGCCGTGTGGGTGAGTCAGGAACAAGATGGCGGCAGACGGGGAAGGGTGGAGGCCAAGATGGCCGCCAATATGCAAATGAGCCCCAATATGGCCGCCAATATGCAAATGAGCCCCAAGATGGCCGACAAAAGCGCCAGATCTCCGGATTTCGGCGAAAATTTCCGGATTTTGGTGATTTTTGGTGATTTTTTTTGGCGTTTTCTTGGTGGTTTTTGAGTTTTTTGGTGGTTTTGGGTGAGTTTTCGCTATTTTGGGGGGTTTTGGTGTTTTTTGTGATTTTTTTTGGTAAATTTTTGTGGGTTTTGGGTTTTTTTAAGATTTATTTCTTGATTTTTTGGGTTTATTTGAGGATTTTTTTGTCAATTTTGAGGGGTTTTTTATTATTTTGGGTTCATTTGTTGATATTTTGTTGATTTTTGGGATTATTTTATGAATTTTTGCATTTATGTTATAATTTTTTGGGTTTATTTGGTGATGTTTTGGTGATTTTTGGGTTCCATTTGTTGATATTTTGTTGATTTTTGGGTTTATTTTATGATTTTTTTGGGTTCATTTGATGATTTTTGGGTTCATTTGTTGATTTTTGGGTTCATTTATTAATTTTTTTGGGTTTATTTGTTGATATTTTGTTGATTTTTGTGTTTATTTTATAATTTTTGGGTTTATTTTATAATTTTTTGGGTTCATTTGTTGAATTTTTGGGTTTATTTGATGATTTTTTGGTGATTTTTGGGTTCATTTGTTGATTTTTGGGTTCATTTATTAATTTTTTTGGGTTTATTTGTTGATATTTTGGTGATTTTTGGGTTTATTTTATAATTTTCTGGGTTTATTTGATGATTTTTTGGGTTTATTTCTTGATTTTTGGGGTTTATTTTATAATTTTTTGGGTTTATTTGTTGATTTTTTGATGATTTTTGGGTTCATTTGTTGAATTTTTGGGTTTATTTGTTAATTAGGCCACGGGGGGGGGTTGGGCCCTTAATGAGCACTAATGAGCTCGTTAGCGCTGCCAGGCCACGGGGTCCCCTCCCCCCCTTGGCAGGGGCACCCCCATTCAGGCCGAGGGGCGGGGCCACGCCCGTGACGTCATCGGGGAGGGGCGGGGCCACCAAAACCTCCCAAATTTCCCACCCCAATTAACCCCTATTAACACCCCCCCAATTAGCACCCCAAATCCCCTTCCCTAATGAACCCCCGAATTAAGACCCCCTCAATTAACAGCTCCTAATTAACACCACCATTAAGACACCCCAATTAATGGCTCCTAATTAACACCCCCATTATCACTCCCATTAAGACCCCCCCAATTAATAACACTCCTCAATTAACAACACCCCTAATTAACGGTCCCCAATGAACGTTTTTGTTCCTACCAGCCCCTAATTAACAACTGCTAATAGAGATCTCTAATTAATAATCCTCTAATTAATTAATAACCCCTATACAGACCCCCAATTAATACCCCAAGAGACCTTTCAATTAACTGTGCTCAATTAATAGTCCCTAATAGAGACCGATCTGATTACCTGACCATAATTAATAACTCTTAATGAACCCCTTAATTAATCCTCCAATTAAAAGCCCTTAATGAAGGCCCTAAATCACCCCCATTTATTAGCCCCTATTAGAAATATTTCTAATTAATGACTATCCTGATCACAACACCCCAATTAATAACTAATATCGACCCCCTCATCACTAATTAATGATCACTGAGACTCCAATTAATCCCCCATTAATATCCAATAACAGAACGCTCCTAATTAAAGAAATAATAACAATAATTTTAATTAATCACCCCTAATACCCCTCCCCAATTAACCCCCTCACTTAACAGCTCGTAATTAACCCCTCCAATTAACACCTCCTTAATTAACACCCCCCAGACCCCCAAATTAACCCCCATTAACCCCCTCTTAATTAACCCCCCTTACTAATTCCTCCCCATTAATTAACCCCCTCTTAATTAACCCCACAAATTACCACCTCCTCATTAATTAACCCTTAATTACCCTCCGAAA